AATTGATGGCGCAGACTCTGTCCGAGTGTCCGAGCTTTTGCGATGACTTTTCAGAGAGGTCGGTCCTGGTGACGTCAGCACTTATCAAAAACACCTAGAATGATTGCTATAGTTGACGGCACAAATCCTCCTTTAGGTTTAAACCAAAGTTGTATTGTCGTACAGGATGGCCGCCCGACCGAACCAGGCGGAAGCGCCCGTGCACTTCATCCAGAGGCGCCCTCTAGAAGCACCCTTGTTGCGCGTACCAACCGCGCTGGCTCAACGGGTGTGGACAACCAGGCGCCTGCTTCCATCCCTGTTCTGCATGGCCTCTTTGACCCCAGCTACTTCCACGATTTTCAACGCAGGCTGAGAGAGGAAGTGGCAGCTTCGCAGGAGCTCGAAGCAGCCACCACCGACTCACAGGTTAGTGTTAAGATTGTTTAAACTTTATCGAACCCAACCACTGATTCTTGAGGCGCGCCTCAAGAATCATGCCGGTGTACCGGGGACAACTAGTGCTCTTGTGTTAACAGCTCGGCTTGTCATGATAGATGCTGACGTCACGAATGAGGCCCGAGCCCAGAAGGTAGGTCACAAACTCGGACACTCGGACAGGGGTGCTCACCGGCCCACCGGCCAGTATTGAGGGCTGTTCTTGTGACCTTTCGCCTGGACTTTCGCCTATACGGCGGACTTCTGATACCTTCCGCTTTACGTGCAGGACAACGGCGACCCAGAGGGCAGGCCCCCGGGCCTTATAACGAAGATGACGAGCACCCCCTCCGGCCAGGGGGGCGCTGGCGCTCCTGGTGAATCCATGGACGTTGACAGTCGGCCACAGCCGTCCAGCGCCCATTGCAGCCAGGTGCGTCTCAAGTGCGAGTGCATGCGAACGCTGAAGAGAACCAAGCAAGCAGACCCATTCGCACACGCCCCCAGTTCCTTGCTTTTTGGGCAGTGCCGTAGACCGTCGCTTGGTTGTTGAAGAACCTCCCCGGCTGCCCAGAGATTTGTCCAAAGGTCCAAGATTCGGTCCGGCTGTCCTGATCTCATCCCGGCTGAGGCTGCCCAACCTTCTTTGAGTTTTCAGAAACATGCCCAGGTCCCTGTCTGGCTGCCATAAACCCTCGCGTGTCTGCAAGTGTCTGACTCTCTCGAGTTCCGTCCGGATGCCGCCCAACAAATCTCTCCGGCTGTTCGAGATCATTCTCTGCTGACCGGAAAATTCGCCAGTCAATCTGCCGTTCCAAGAAACGAATGGTCATGTTACAGTCCCTTGCTAATCTCAAGTTTGAGTCTGATCTTTCTTCGCTTGAGGCTTCCGAATGAAACCAGCGTTCTACATCCGTCAAAGTACTGGAAGTTTCTGGTATCGGCTCGAGAGCTGTCTAGGATTCATCTGGTGCATACTCACGGTGTTCTTGAAACACCCTACGTATGCACCACATAACTTGAGGAATCGAAGACCGTTCAGCTCTGCCGACGTCATTCCGGAGCTTCGCTCTCAGAAGGTGTGACAAGAACTCGGACACTTGGACGAATGTTGCCCCTGTTAACTTCAAAGTTTCTACCTTAGGATGTCTGCTGACGTCACTTAACAGGCCCGAGCTAAAAAGGCATGCTACAAAGTCGGACACTCAGACAGGCATTGCTCCCATCACCATCAATCACAGAAGGATTCCACTCGGGTTGTCTGCTGACGTCACTTAACAGGCCTGAGCCCAAAAGGTTGGTCACAAACTCGGACACTCAGACAGGGGTGTTGGCATTGTCTCAACCCATCGCGCTGGCCATCTTGAGGTGATGGTTGCTGACGTCACGAAGCAGGCTCGAGCTCAAAAAGCATGTCACAAACTCGGACACTCGGACAGCGGTCTCTCAACAGCTGCAACGCTAGTCTTAGCCTCACATTGATTCATTAATTCTTCTTATGTCAAGCGGCACGCATGGTTGTGCAGGCAAGCAGTGGCAGCAACCAGCAGCCGCCGCGCGCCTTCAGTGGAGAGGAGTCGCAGAAAACGGAGTCAGAAGGGGAGGGCGAGGACGTTGAGGGGGCGGGGTTTGAGAGCGTGCACGAATCCTCAGACGAAGAGACGTCCCAGGATCGTGCAATGATCGACGACGCGCCTCAGGAAGAGGAGAACGAAGTGGTGCAGTACGGCCGGATGATTGCGGCGATGGAGACAGATTCGGACGCAGAGGGCTTCTCCCAGGTGCTGGCGAAGCTCAAGCGCCGCGCGCCGAATGTGGAGACCAACCCGGCCCCAAGCAACCGCCGGCGCCGCGTGCTGCTCTCACCCTCCGACTCCTCGAGCGAGGATGAGGGCAGCTCGTCCCCTGTTCGCAGCCAGGCCCCGAGCGCCAAGCACCCCCCCTTGCCGGAGGAAGGGGAAGCGCTTGGGGCGGACTGCCCGATGCCGGACGACCCCTTGTGGGAGCCCGAGGATGACGCCTGGTTGTACGACCTTTCGCCAGAGGACCTTGCCTGGTCGGACTATGTCGCGGACTTCGTCGACCTGAGCTTGGAGGACGACTTCGCCCAAGCGTGCGAGATCGTTCCACATTCGCGCGGAGGCAGCAGCCAGGTGAGCACCCTCCACCCCTCCCACGCGCTTCTTTTTGGGATAGGAAATTGGGGTTCAGCTTGTGTCGGCACTCAGCTGATTGCATCAAGGCCTTATTGCGTGCCCGGAAGAAGTGAGCGTGCAATTGCAACCAATAGTGCAGAAGACATAGGAATCTTTTGAGGAATTCCTGTACATCGCCGTTCAAATCCCCGACTTTGACAGGTAATGTTCGTGTACATTGCCGTTCATTTAATGTACATAGCCATTCCACCCCCAAGTTGAGAGCTCTTGTACACGAAAACCCAAGCGCATCCTATGCTTTGAAGCGACCAGATTATCGGACAGCTCTGGGCGGAGATTGCTCAAACAAACTTCCCCTTTTTGCTCAGCGGCCGGTGCACATAACTTCCCCTTTGAGGAATGCCCGCTGATGTACTCGAATCTCTGAAGCACATCTGAAGACTAGGAGGCATTCAGCGAATTAGTGAAGACTTCATCTGATTGTGTACAGAATATTGGCATGGAACTTTTGGCCCCCCTTTTGTTGTTTGCAGTGCTTCTAGGGTGCCGAAAAGAGTGGTCTAAGTCTCTATTCCGCACTTCCTCGCAGGCCACAGCTGCCAAGGGTGCTCCGATCGCCCTCGATGCAGCCGAGCCATCCTCGCTGAGCAATTGGCTCACTTCGCCCTCCGTCCCCGTCCCCGTCCCGAGCGCCGCGGCTGCCCAGAGCGCCATCGGGGCGGCCCAACAGGAGCAGACCCTACCTGCTGCGGCCCAGAGCTCAGGGGGCGCAACCAACGCCACCCAACCGCCCCCTGCTCCCCGCCTCGTACCCGAAGGCGTTGCAGTGCAGGAAACGATGCCCTTCCCCCAGGTAGGGTTCGTGCAAATTGTGATCACCCCCTTTCTTCGCTTGGTAAGCGGTCGGCTCAAAATGAAAGTCGCGTTGCTTGTTGACGTCATCACGGCATTTTGAGGTTGATGCCGCGTGCCTCACACATCGTAACCGATGGTGACTTTCTGCATCGCTTTGAAGCAACGGCCATGTGATGCTCTCTCACGATATTGGCTCATTCGATGGGTGCTCACTTCTCGCAGGTACCCAGCCTAGCTGACGTGGGGGGGGCGTCACGAGTCGACCCCATCGTGGCCGCCGCTCATCACTTGCACACGCATGGTGTGGCGGCGCTGACGTTCAACATGAAAGTCTCGCTGAACGACAAGGGAGAGGAGAAGAAAGCGCCGGCTGGCCTCATGCCAGAGTGGCAGAAGAAGTGCGATCTCGGCAACTGTTTGCGCCAAGGAGTCCGGCCTGGCAGAGCCTGCCTTGCGATCGTGACCGAACCCTCGGACCTCATCGTCCTCGACGTCGATACGAAGGACGAAGGGGTGGAGACCTTCGAGGAAGTGCTAGCAGAACACGGCCCCTTGCCTGACGATACCCCTTGGGAGTGGTCCGGAACGAGGCCTGGGATGCACTTCTTCTTCTCCCTCTCGCAGTCCAAGGCCGCCGGGTTGCTGAGCGGCGCCAACAGGACTAAGCTGACGTACAAGGGCCAAAAAGTGGGGCTTGACACGCGCGGCGAGGGGGGGATGGTCTTCGTGGGCCCCAGCAGCTACAAGAGCCTGGATGGCACAGTGCGCTCGTATGAGTGGGTGCAGGAGATCGCCCAAGACCGCTCCAACCTCCGAGCTATGCCCGGGTGGTTGATCGGAATCCTCAACGACAGCAGCGCGCCCTCAGCAGCACCAGGGTTCATGCTCACTCCCAACACTGATCCTTTTCCGCCCAAAATGCATCGCCCAAAGCTCGCTCTGCTTCTTCACCCCACCGACCTTAATTGCCATTCGTCATTTTGTGATTTCCGAGAGCTTGTTCGTGGGTTGACAACACGAAGTTTGTTCGTGCATCCGTTTTTGCCGTTTACTTCCTTTCAATTGAGTTGACATCTCCAACATGAGCCTTTGTAGGTGATGAGGTGACCCTGTCCGAGTGTCTGAGTTTTCGTCACACCTTCCAAGAGCGGAAGTTCTGATGACGTCAGCAGCCATCCCCGATAGGATCCTCCGTAGTTGATGGAGCGGACTCTGTGCGAGTGTCTGAGTTTTGGCACACCTTCCGACAGCAAAGCTTCTGGACGACGTCAGCATTCTGCGCTTCAGCGGAATGCCGCTATGATGGTGTGCAGACAGTGAACACCCGCCATTATGCCTTCCTTCAACAGTGGCTTCTCTATTACCGAAGGCCCAAAGCGTCGCACCCTAACGTCCATTGCAATCCTTTTTTGCAGGGCAGCGCCATTGGCCCCCGCTCGCTTCGCTGAGGGCCTCAATGCCGACGGAGTCGAGTTGCCCCCTCCGCCGGCGGTCCTGGAGCGCATCAAGAAATGCCTTGCAGACGTAGGAGACACCTCTTCGCGCTTCGACAAGCTCAAGAGGTTCCCTGGGGGGCCGGACCTGTACGCCTATCGCGTTAGCGGCGCACGCGTGTGTCCGTATGGTGTGAGCCACAGCGGCTCGAACAACTTTTGTGTCCTGGTACGTGGTCGCGGTCTTTTCTACAAGTGCAACAGCTCCGAGTGCTGCGACGTTCATCCGCAGCGCAAGATCGGGGAGCTCACGGCACAGGAGAGCATGGTGTGGGGGGCGAGACGGCCTCGGTTGCTGAGGACGACCTGACCGTGTACGACATGCTGACGAAGGCCTTTGTGGATTACTGGGCGTTTAAAGGAGACATGGGCGGCAGTCGGATTGTTGCGCAGATGTACTCCAGATGCCACAGGTGAAGCTACCTTTCGTCGTTTCTCATTCAAGCTCCGCAATCTTGGGTGATTGTTTGAAGAGTTTCCAGGCTCTTTCAATACGTGACCTCAAATCCAAGATTGGTCGGGCTGTACTCCTCTCTTGTGAGCGAACTTCGACTTCTTGAGAGCCCTACCGAAATTGCAACTCGAATGGTGGCCGCTGATGCTGTGTCCGAATGTCCAAGTTTTTGGAGTCAGCAACCTGAGATGACGTCAGCAGTCCCCCCTCGCTCCCTCGGCTCCAGTTGACAGCTTGCGTCGTGTCCGTGTGTCCTTTTGAGCCCGCAATCCCTTTGACGGCGGCAGCGATTGCGCCATAATCTCTTGCGGAACCAATCGTCTGCTTTGCATCTTGTGTCGGAGTGTCCCCATTTTGTGCACATCTCTTTCTTAGCAGCTCGGTGTGACAACCGCAGTCACCTCAACCGATGAGCCTTGCTTCGTTTGCACGTAGATCAATGGGCATCATGGCCCAGTTTTCCCACGATGGAGCTTGACTTTTCGAAGCGGCCAGAGAAGCGACACCTTTCCTCTTCCTTTTAACTGCAGGATCTGGTATGATTCGGAGGGCAAGACTTGGTGGATATGGGATGGGAAGCGCTTCAAGCAGGCTGCAATCGAGACGGTCAAATATATCTGCATTCATCAGCTGAGCACCGTTTACGGTCGACTTCGAGCAGAATTGAAGGAGCAGATAGATGAGACCGTCGACGAGAATGAAAAAAAGTTGCTGAGCAAGCGTCTCGACAAAGTGAGACGCTACTACGACGCTGGTGAGATTGGCTCGACCTTGACGATCATGGCAGGGGAGATGGCCCTGGATTTGGTTGGGGAGCTGGACGCCAATCCGGACATCCTGAACGTTCAGAACGGGGTCATCAACCTGCGCACTGGCCAGCTCGACATTCACAGGCCGGAGTACTTGTGCACCAAGCTAGCTGACGTCAACTTCAAGGTGCGCTTCAAGGTTTTGGATTGTGATGTCGTATTTGTGCAGCTGTAGAGACACATACCGCCAGAGTGTTGGTTGAATGAAGAGAAGAGGTCACCTCAGAGCTTCTTTGTGCTGATATCAACCTCCATGAAACCCCTCGAAATCACATTTACAGATTGAGGGGTTTCTTGTATGAAACCTTGTGGCCTTTGTGAGATGTTGAAGTCTTGAGGCTGCCACCTCAGGAATTACTTGCACGTCCTAGCTTTGATCATGTCCAAGCAAGCCGAGATGCCATGCAAAGTAGTGTGCAGCAAGGACTTGATGCTTTCTGCGTTGTGGCCTTGCAAGTAAGCAGATCGTAAGAAGCTCCGGACGACCCGTTCCTTGCAGGGGCTCAGTCATCCGACCCCCACCATCCGCAATTTCCTGGACGACATCTTCAACGGCGACCAAGCACTCATTGAGTTCATGCGGAGGCTATGGGGGTACGCCATAAACGGGCGGATTAGCGAGGAGATCATTGTGTTCTTACTCGGGAGCGGCGGTAGGTCGCTCACACCAAAACCGCTCTGATTGCTCTTGTTTGGGCGTCTCTTGGGATCCCCGTTTTCGAAAGCAACCCAATGAGAGAGCAGTCTTCAGCCATCCCCTCAAGGTCTGCTGCAATTGATAGCGTCCGAGTGTCCGCGCTCCGTGCTTACCTTCTCGAAGGGCCTCCTTTTGGTGACGTCAGCAACCATGCCACCCAATAGCTTCTAGGTGTCCGAGTGTCTGAGCGCTCTGCCCGCCTCTTGGAAGATGTTCCTTCCAGATGACGTCATCAACCATCACACCCACATTTCCGCTCTTGATAGCTTCCAAATGTCCGAGTATTTTGAGCTCTGTGCCCACTTTTAATAGATAGGGGTTTCAGCAGGCAGTCCGACTACTCAAGCTCTACTCGATGTGCAGGGAATGGCAAGGGGGTCTGCAAGGAGATGCTCGAGAACACGCTGGGCGAGTACTACGGCGTGATGGCCAAGGACGCTGTGGTGAAGCCTCCCGGGCAGCGACCCCCCACCAAGGGTGCTGCCACGGGCTACCTCGCTGAATTAAAGGGCTTCCGGGTTGCTATCACGGACGAAACGAGCCCGGGCGAGCGCGTTGATCTCGGGCTCGTCCTCATGATGACCGGCGGGGGAAAGCAGAGTTTTCGAAACCTCTTCGAGAAAAACGCTACGATCCGCTTTACCCATACGCCTTTCATCCAAACCAACTACGATCCTGAGATTCCCCCGACCCTGGCAAAGCAGGCCAACATTGACCGCCGCCTCATCGTGGTTCGATTCCCAAACGAGTACGTGTCTGAGAACAAGTTCGACGAAACGAACCCTAGCCATAGGCTCGTGGATGGCAGTCTGAAGCAGCGGATGCAGACGCCAGCGGTCTGTGAAGAGTTCCTCACGTTCTTGATCCAAGGGAGCTGCGCTTGGTACGAGGACCCCACGGTCTTGCGCCGGCACCCGCCGGCCGTTCAGGCGGCCTCGATGGCGTGGCTGCAGCGTGGAGACAAGCTGCAGACCTTCCTGCAGTCGGAGCACTGCGTCCTGGATGCAGCTGACACGCCCGAAGCCGCAAAGACCGTCACGTGGGAGGACGAATTCTGGAGACAGTTCCAGTTGTTTGCAGGGCTGAAGATTGCCAAGGAGGAGTTGGCTAGGCAGATGCGGGAGAAAGGGTATGGGAGAACGAAGCGCGCTGGGCGTTTCACCGGCGATCTCGCTTCCCAGCGGAGCTCTTGCTATGTAGGCTTCAAGTGCGAGTACGATTGACACGCGTCCACCTTGTAAAAGCCGGTTGCTGGCCTGTTCCATGAGGCTTGCTTCGACGAGAAGAATTGTACATAGACTGATTGCCCACCTCTTGGAAAAATAGGCCATTAGGAGCGAGCAGAATTGAGAAGCATTTTCCCGTCACAAAACTAGTCGATTGCTTTCAAGTTTCTTCCACTAGTCTTGCATTGACCATCGGGTAGAACTGTACATAAGTTATTGTTTTCTGCCGACCTTTCAGAGAGTAGGCTCTAGGTACGGGTTACGATTGAGAGGCCATTCCACGAAAACGAAAAAAACAAATCGCTTGCTGTTCCGTTAGTGGTGCTTTATTGAGTAGTATTGTATACAAGGTAGATCAGGTGCCCACCTTTGTGGAGTTAGCATAAATGATACTCTAGCTAACAAGTCCTTTGGCTCGTGGCCGTTTGCGTACATGGTCACATATGTTACCAAGCATGCTGTTGGTACAAAATCCAACCGTATGATGCATGTCACTCATGGAAACCGTAGCAATTAGTGGTTCGATACACATGGCATACTACACTATGACGGTGAATTTGGATGAAGGCTGACTGGCTGCTGACGTCATGACAAGGGGACCTTCTGAGAAGGTATGCACAGGTCTCGGACACTTGGGCGCAAGCTTAGCCACCATCAACTACAGCAGATAGATATTGCTAGTGGAATGGCTGCTGACGTCATGAAAAGAGGACCTTTAGAGAGGGTATGCACAGGTCTCGGACACTTGGACGCAAGCTTAGCCACCATCAACTACAGCAGATACATATTGCTAGTAGAATGGCTGCTGACGTCATGAAAAGAAGACCTTTAGAGAAGGTATGCACAGGTCTCGGACACTTGGACGCAAGCTTAGTCACCATCAACTTCAGCAGATACATATTGCTAGTAGAATGGATGATGACGTCACGAAAAGGGGACCTTCCGAGAGAGTATGCACAAACCTCGGACACTTGGACGCAAGCTTGCCACCAACAACTACAGTAGACACATATTGTCGGTGGCATGGCTGCTGACGTCATCAAAAGGGGAACTTCCGAAAAGGTCTGCGCAATTCTCGGACACTTGGACGCACGCGCGTTTCCACGAAATGTCACCGGCCTCTAAAGGTGAAGCGCGCGGCACGTCTCTCTCGTCTGTTGCTCCTTACAAAAAGTCGCATCGAGGCTTAGAAGGATGCAAGATGGACATTCATAAAGATTCGAGCGGTCTAAGCACGAGATGGCGGATTCCAACTTCGCTTCGCTGCATCACTCCGTTGTGCCCGAAGCATCTAGACCGCAATGGGAGAGGCGGAACAACCGCTACGTTTGCCTTGAAAATCATTCTGATCGACCAGAAGGAGCGTGCAGCAGGGACTTTGCATCGAAGCAAGCTCTCGAGGCCCACCGCGCAACAACCCATTGCGAGCCAGCAAAGCTGCCCAGCGAGCGTCCCATCTCTAGGTTGCGAGGATTGAGCCCTAATGAAGCCCATCGCATAGCGCAGCGAAGCAATCATGCTGCAGTTGCGAAGTACCGAGATACTTTGAAAGGAAAGTGGGCCACGTTCAGAGCCCGCCATATGGCAAAGTACCGCAATCTCTCGTTGAAAGCTCTACCGGCGCCCCCAGAGCCCGAGGCACCGCCCTACATGTTGCCGCCAGTCTCGTGGCTTCTGGCAGACGCTCAGTTCACCCCCAACGAGGTGAAAGCGCGGTTCGCTTCGGGTAACATCCAACTGAGCCACTCGACCTGGTCCCTGAGGTTTCACCCGGACAAGGTTCAGGTGAGGTGGTCTAAACCCTGCCTTCATAGACCCTTGGCAATCAAACAAATGACTAATCATACTGTACATCTTTGCTCAATTATGATGCTTAAAGTGTATATCAAGTCACATTCCTATCATGCGATTCTTTCAATAGTGTACATCTTTGCTCATTTGGATGCTTAATAAAAATTGAGAATATCTACAGTTGCCAACAAGTCCTCGTTCTTTGTGATAATAGGAGAGAAGCCCGCACCATTTGGAAGAGTTTGGACGACACTACATCCACGAGCTACGCAAGCTTGGGAGGGAGAGAGCGGGACCTGCTCACAACGCGATACAAGCTCTCTATGCCACCGAGCAGTTTGCGCCTCTAAACGAGCGCTTCAAGCAAGGCATCTACGCTAGAAAGGCAGGAGGAAGGCACTGGGAAGCATGGCTCAACGAGGAGGTTGCACTCGTCACAGATTACCTTGTCCATCTTTTAAGAGTTGTAGAATACGAAAGCCAGGTGCAACGTGCAAAGGAGTTGCTCAACGCTCGAGAGGCTTGGATTGACGAACAGCTAAAGAGGCGCTTTCGGAGGTCCAAAGCGTTTTTGAGGCACAACGAGCCGTAGTACAAAAGGCCTTTACCACTTTCGTCTTCGTAACCAATAGAATTATGCTCAGTTACATAATGAACCAAGTAGAATTAAATGGATTCGATTGTTTGTCAACAACCGAAGGACAGAGCTGCAATGATCGAATTGGACAATCAGGTAAATAAGTCTGTAAGGTTGGCCATCATCCGTTCTTATCAGGAGCTCGGCTGTACCAACACTTATCTTGACATCGGAACTCTAGCAGGCTTGAGATCGTTGACTCCGCCACACAACCTCGCCCGAATCACTCAGAAGGTCGTGAAGTCATTGAATGCGGAAGGTTTTCATGCCTTATGGGACAAGTCCGGCTTACATAGCCCCTCGTTATATTCCGTCTATGTCGACTGGGGAAATGCACTGAAGAGCGCAAGAAAGGCAGAGCGTAAGGCCCACTATCGGGCTCGAAATGTCAATGCCAATGCCCTAGAACGGAGGATCCTCCCTTCGAACCAGAGAAGTTGCAATCTTGACTGCACGGCAGCTAGAGATGGCGGTGATGACTCAGGAAACGAGAACATCGAAGTATACCTGCTCGAGTTGCTCGCAAATCCGGCCAAGACCCGCAATAAGCAGAACAATGAAGAGAGTGTCAGCCCGTCTGGATAAAATGAATGGCCATTTACTGCTCGAGAGGTGAAATCTGTCCTTCAATATTCACATTATCTAATATAATCACTTTTTCGCGAAAAATCGACTTTTTCAACCGGGTTGGATACCCGTTCTACAAGCCTTATTTCTGTTGGAAAACAAGCACAAGCTTTATGCAAACTCAGAAAGTGCAGAAAAATGCAACCAGCCTTATTCACTTTTCCAAAAACCCTCAGCCGGTTGGCTGGTCGTTATTTTTATCTAGAGTATCTCAGATAAGCAAGGCATGGAAGCTTCCAATGCAGAGGAGCGCGCTATAGCTGTGCCAAGGACCCATGAGCTCTTACAAGCCGTGTTTGATGATGGTTCCAGAAAGCTTGTAACTGTGAAGCAATACTGTGCCCATGTTGTTCGTCTCTTTAAGGGTATGTTTGATGAAGAGTCGGAGATATCAGATTTCGAATGGTTGAAAGATGCGCCGAAAGTGATTGCTTACTTTTCCGATGCATATCCAGACAAGCTCTCAATGCAAGCAACTGGGATCAATCCTCTTCTTGTCCTAGTCAAGAAGGAGTTTCCAAGAGACACAAAATTGTATCACAGTTACTATAGGCGATACCAAGAGGTGCGCGAACTGATGGAAAAGGCACGCCCTCCGCCACAGGTAATGACAGAAGCCGAAAGTCGCAACTGGAAGACACTCTCTCAGATCGACGACAAACGTGTCCAGCTGCAGAGACGAGTGAACCGCTCCATACTGCCCAAGGGTCCCGGACAGCTCACAACGGCCGATAAGGTCATCTTGATCCGCTATCTCGTTCTGTGCTTATATTCTCAGAGCCCCTCCCTGCGTAACGACTATTCAAACCTCCCCGTGATCCGTTTCGAGGATATGCACACCCCTTCCGCAAAAACGTTGACGTCTGGAAATGGCAACTATCTCTTGGAGTACGCGAAGGGGCAATTCCGAATGGTCTTGAAAGATTTCAAAACGGCCAAGACGTATGGGGAGCAGGCAATCGACTTACCGACACGAACTTGCAACGTGATTGCGGAGACTCTTGAGGTGTTTCCTCGAAAGTACCTTCTAAGTCGTATGCGGACGCCGGATGAGCCAATGAGCCGCAATTACCTCACAAAGTTCTGCTGCTCCATTTTCGACGACGCGAATGTCGGTACGTGCTTGCTGCGCAAGATATGCGTCTCGAATGCAATGAAGGATGCGCCCAGCATCCTAGAGCGAGAAGTTCTTGCCAAACAGATGCTTCACTCTGCCTCGGTGCAAATGCGGACTTATGAGAAGCATTATAGGCCAGATGGCACGAACATTCAGTTCGATGACGCTTAAGTCTCAATGTATCGTTTGTCATTGAGGTTTGAGCGAGTTTGCAGCACTTGGCAGAAATCTAGCGGACCTCGGCTGCTATGTATGGGAGGAGGTTCCTTGAAAGGCTGTCACCAATGTCGAATCGTGAACTTGTGGCCGATGGTATTGAAAAACCCGCCTTTTGGAGCCTCTCGAGTGTCTGCTTGTGAAACTTCTTTGTGTTTCCTGAAAGGTAGCGTGCATAGGCCTTTTGGAGCAGGATCCGCTCCTGATTGCGAGCATAATAAGCCCGCATGTGCTCTTTGTGCTTTTCAGGATGTTGTTGCTGATAACGTCGATGATTCTGACAGGCACGGCAGGGGCAGGGCCGGGTGTCGTCAACAAAGTCATCAGTGGCTCCAAAGGCCACGGACATTTGTCCTCCTTATTACTGCGAAAAAAAAGATCGATGCTCGACCGCAATCGAAACTGTGAGTGCGTTCAGATCCCACCGATTTTTTCTTAGTGGTGACTATATAAATCATGGCTCCGCTAGGTGTCGAGCAAGCTGTCGCTGCCCCTACGGCCTCGGCCTCCGAGTCGACCAAGGCCTCAGGGCCACCAAGCATCAAAGACGTGATCATGGACCTCGCTGGAAGAGGGCTTTATGCCATCCCCGTGCGAATGTTTTGGGATTCCAACAAGGGCAAGAAGGACGCGGACTTCCCATACAAATGGAGTAATATGGTTGATCGCAACACCTGGAACGACAAGATTGATGCGGCCCTCTCAGAGGTGTCGAATGCCAACGGTGTTGCTATCCTCACGGGTGCTAGCAGATTGCTGGTGGTGGATGTGGATAATTCTAGCACTCCCAAAAAACGTGCAGGGATAGAGCTCTGGGACCGCTTGATTGCCACTCACGGCGAGCCGTCGACCCTCAAGGCAAAGTCTGGATCGGGTGGGCTGCACTTCTACTTTCGAATCAACAGCCTCGGACTCAATCGCACGAGAAACTTTGCTGGCTTGAAGTCGGGCGGGACCCTTTACGGGATTGACTCTCGTGCAACAGGCGGCATCATTTTTGCACATCCAGCAGCATACGTGGATGGTGAGGGCATTCACCGCCAGTACGAATGGTTCAACGGTCCACCGAGCTATAAAGCTTGCTCTGAGATTCCAGAGTGGCTCGTGCGGATCATCAATGACGGGGCGACAGCGGCGTTGATGAGATTCAATCGATGGTTGTCAGCGCCGCGCCACATGAGATCACGGAAGCATGCGCATTGGTTGACTCTAAGATGGATATAGCTCATGGCCATTGCAATGATCAACGCTCGGCTTCCAACAGAGCGTCCAATGACAGAAGTCTTTTACTGAAAGAGTTCTCGGACATGCTAAGAGAGAACGCACGTGATTCTACAAGCACTTATGCGAGCACGCTGCCACATGGGCTTTATGGCACTTATTACTGCTTTAGGACGAAAGGGCCAAGGACTTGCTACTTTGGCCATCGTCATTCAGGAAGCAATAACTTCAACCTGCTTAAACGTGGACGCAACGTATACTATCGCTGCCATGGTCAAGAATGCTCTCACAAGCGTGCAGAGAAGCTAGGTGAGTTAAGCCTCAAAGCTGCATTGCAAGACGCGACGTCTCAAAGAGTTCACCATTCCGATGATATGCGCACCATCACACAATATACGGAGGGGAGTGAGGAGGTTCAACGGCTTCTACTCAAGTTTATGGCCGAGCACGCCGCCCCTCAAGCTTATTTTAACCTTGGGCGGCTCTTTGGTTATTTTTATCAGATCGAGGGAAGGATGCTCACAACGAGGGACACTTCGGAGAAGAAGAAAGATGCTTTGTACTTCTATGTTTGGAACGGCGCTTCTTGGATTCAGGACGCAGCGAACATGGTCGCTAGCGTCTTCACGTTGCAGATGGGGGTCCTCCTCGCTTGGTATGAGGGCAAACGGGAGAAGTGCTTGGAGGAGCTCCGCTCGCAACATCCCGATCTGCAAGGGCTCGGGGAAGGCGAAGGGCCTCAATCCAGATCCAAACAGCAAGCGGAACTGATCAAGGCTGCCCAACAGGGATGTCTTAATGAGAGAGATAGGAGATTGCCGAGCTTTGGGAGGATCAATGTGCAAGACATTGGTGATGTGAGGAAGTGTCTGCCTGCTGTTGTCAACGAGCTCTTCGTAGAGGATCTAATGGACTTGTTCGACCAAGACGACCACGTTGCCAACGCTCCAAACGGTCTCATAGACCTCCGGACCGGGAACCTCTCAGGCCATCATCCACAGGATCTTTGCAGCAACACCACAAGCACGTACATCCGAGGTGCCTCAGGAGCCCTGACGGCGCGCTTCCGCAGTTTCTTGATGGATGTTCTGCCACCTGGCAACATCGATTGGCTGCAGTTGTTCCTTGGATATTGCCTCACTGGCGAGACGAGCGAAGAGCTCTTTGTCATCATGAACGGCGAGGGTGCAAACGGAAAGAGCAGACTCGCGGCCGCCATACGTCGGGCCTTTGGAAGCTACAGCACGGCAGGCAACAAAGCAATCTTCATCAAGCCTACTTTTAAGGCTAATGCATCCTCTGCTTCGACCCATCTCATGCACATCAAGTCCAAGCGCTTCGTCACCAACGAGGAGTCGGAGAAGGACGATCATCTGAACGGAGCATTTCTAAAGGAGGCAGCCTCTGGCAACCCTATCGAAGCACGTGAGCTTTTCTGCAAACCACAGGAGTACATCCCGCGATATAAGCTCTGCCTCTTTACTAATTATAGGCCGCACTTTCCAAGCGATGACGCTGCATTGCTCCGCAGGATCGTACTGATCATGTTCGATTTCATTTACAAAGCTCCGGACGAGCTGGACGTGAACAACAAGAGGCACAAACCGATGGACCTCACGCTGAAATCGTATTTCGAATCTGCGGAAGGTGCTGCAGACGTTCTGGACTTTTGTGTGGAGGGCGCGACAATGTACTATGCAAGGAAGGAGCAATCTCCGGAATCGAAGATTCTCTCGCCCATCCCGCATGCTTTCCGTGCTGCAGCGCAGGAGTATGCAGCCGAGAATGACCACCTCCAATGCTTCATCGACGAGTCATGTGTGAAGGGCGACTCTTTCGGCGTCACCAAGGTCGACTTCGTGAACAAGTTTTTGGAATTTTTGTATGCAGGCGGGCACGACACAAGCGTGGCTGGGGACGGTTTGGCAAGGGCCATGAACGTGAAGGGGTACACGAGCACTTCTAAAGACGGGAAGAAGAACAGAATGATCCGAATGCTAGACAGTAGAGAAAGGAAAACCGGCTTCTTCGGAATCCGGCTCAAGACTCCTGAAGAAATGGAGGCGGAATTCAATGCAAGTGAGGACTGAGGGGACGTGATACATGTGATACGCAATCTGAGGCCTCTCAGCAAGCTTGTATCAGTGCCTGGAAGGCGCTAGAATTGTGGTCATTTGGGCCAGTTTCGACGACACAACGACTCGTAGCAGTGTCTCACAGCGCTGGAAATGCAGAGATGGCATCTTGTTGTAGCGCTTATGGTTGATGCAATTGATGCAAGATACATCATAATGATATATGATATTCTTTTGAATAAGAAGCTTCTTCCTCCATTATATATTCTGCTCTGATAAAAATAGCTGCATCAATTGCATCATGCGCATCACACCCATTTTGCGTCTCTTTGTAAAAATCGTGGTTTTTCGGGCCAGAGCAGCACAACTATTGCATGGAACCAAGCGGGCCGTGCAACAATGAGCCCCTTTGAGGAGCCCATCCCCACATTGCAGGACGTGATACCGTCTTTGTTTCTAGTATCGAATCTGTATCAGCTCACAGACAAGTCTCTTTAGCACAAAAAGTCAGCCTTGCAACAGCGCCCTCGCAATGGCGGCCGACCACGCCGCCGCCGCAATGGCAATGCCACGCTTTGCGTTGTCCACCCTCTTCAGCGTCGTGTTGAAACCACCAAGCAGCAAAGGTAGGATCACCATCAGGCTCTCCAACCCAGAGTACCAACCCAGAGACCGGAAGCCCTTCAGAAAGGAGTTGACCGACTCCACTGCCGACGTGTTGACCCAATGCAACGCGTCATAGGCGTCAGCGGAATTCGACGGCCCGCACTTGTGCACCTCCTGTCCGGCCTTCGAGAAGTGAAACCTGCACACAAGACAGAGTGTACATAGGAGGTCATGCGGCGCAACAAGCCTCGTTTTGCCTGCAGACATTGTAGTTTGAAAGTTGATGTATACGTTTTTTAAAGCAATCCACCAATTCCCATTGCTGGATCAGCATGTATGTACCCACAACACCTCCAGTTCTATGAACGGGAGACGGAATAGAGCTAAGCACAACACACGTTGCCAAATGAGCTCGGATGTACACTCACCTGTCGACCACGAAGCGCACGTCCCTGAAGAACGCCGGGGCTCGGCGCATCGAGTAGTTGCGCAGCGCACATGCGTTGTCATGGACCAAGACCTCCGGCAAGTCCTCTCGTCTCAGCCGAGTGTAGAGCACCGTAAATGCGTCCCGAAGGCTCTCTCCGCGCAGCATGATGTGAAAACCGTAGATGACTCGGTGCGAGCAGCAAAAAACAAAGGCCCCTCGACACCTCTTCGGCCGCTTGCTCTTGCTCCCTTTCTTTCCCGACAGCTTTCCGGCCCCCTTCACTAGCCCCGGCACGTGCTCGGCGTCCCATTCGGTCATCGACTTCCCCGTCGCGCACTTGAACTCCTCCGACGTTCGGCTGCGGCCGTCAGGATGCTCGAAATTGCTGTAGTATGGCAAGCCCCGTTTCTGCTCCCACCCTGGGAGGGAGTAGCACGCCAATGTATCTTGCTCTTCTCGAAAGCTGTGCCCAACCGGCAGCGGCTGCAGATCCCCCCCGTTCTCATCCTTCCCCAGCCGCTCTCTCAAGAGCAGCCGCTCGGCTGCGCTCATCCGACCCCACTGCTCAGAGCTCGGCTTCAATTTCTCGACCCCTCGGAGCAGCTCGTTTGCCAAACCTCGAGCATCGTCCAGCTGCCGCCGCTCCTCGATTGACAGAGGCCTCGCTTTCGCCTCTCGCAGCAGAGTGACCGCACGGTCAAACGGCTGGATGGCTTCATGAATCCATCCCAAACGCCCCTCGCCCTCGAATCCAGCTGCGCCCCTCGAAAGAAGGGCCAGCAAGTACAGCTCGTGCAGAGTTCGGAAGAAGAAGGTGGGAAAGCTGGAGCCTCCATAAGCGTCCAAGAGGCGCCGAAGGATGGGCGCATCCCTCGCAAGGTCCCGACGGTCCTCGAGGGTCGCCTCTCCTCCTAACAAGAGCCTTTTGACCACGTGCAGCGCGCCACTACCAATCAGGTCCTCGTCCGCGTCGTGAGCTCCGAGCGAATAGAGCAGCTCGGTCCATTCCCCGACCCAGCTCTCCCAAAGGTTTGGGTTCCTACCCCGCCGTTGAAAGTCGGCTTGGATGCCCGTGAGGAGCTCGAAAACGGCCAGGTTGCGGTCGCGGACCATGGTCTGCTGCTCCACCAAGAGGCGCCTCCTGCCATCCTCCGGAAGCGGGCCCTCGGCCTCCCCTGGTCCGAATCGCTTCACGATCCGAGCGTCCTCATGCGCCAACCCGTCCAGAAGACCCTCGAACTCCACCCTTGAGAGGCGCTGGCCGAGCTTCTCGTCTTTCGGCCGGTTTTGAGAGAGGCGCGCAATCGCCTCTCGCAGCTCCGGCTGGAGCAGCAGCTTGCGCTTTAGGCCGCCCCCTTCGAGACCGGCGCCGCAGTAGTCGCGGCCAGAGATTGAGCGCTTCTCGAAAAGCTGCCCAGCCGAGTCTCTGCTTGGATGGGTGAAGGTGCGCCGCGCGTCAAGGGTCGAGCTTCCAAGGCCGCCCGGCTTTCTCGCGCCGTCGGAGCTTGCTAGCCCCACGATGCCATCGCAGAGTAATACCTGAACGGGGCGAATGTTCAACTTCGTTCAATGTTCATCGTTCAATGTACCCTTGATGCCATTGTTCGAACATTCTAGCTATCCTCGGATGTACACTAAGCTCTCCGTGCTTGTTGTTCTGAGAGATGGTCAGTGTCAGTGGCAGTGCACAACTTCGTCGTTCACAAAATCAAACAGACCGCAAAGACACGAGGGCCATAAGATGTCTTTCTTCTTTCTCTCGTCTCTCGCTTGAGCAGATTACCGATGCTACTCACCCTTGGATGCGGTCCGCAGATGGAGCAGCAGTCTCGGATGCCAAGCCCAACTAGCTTGAAGAAGTCGAGGCTCGCTCTTCTCCAAGTCTCCTCGCTCGGCACGACGGCATCAGGAGAGCGCTGGAAGGCCGCGTGGTCGCGTGCAAGCTCGGCCTTGAAAGAGTGCCCGTGCTGCATCCCTCGCAGGAGCAGCTGGAGGCTCTCCTGGACGAAGATCGTTCTGCGGTTCCAGGCGTACAGGCCCAAGTGCTCGCCGTCAAAGTGGATGGCGTGCGCCTCGTCTTGGCACTGGCAGTGATAGACGCGTGTTCGCACCCCCTGGCTCCAAGACGCTGCAGTGACGGAGGCCTCTACCCACGCCTCCACCCAAGAACCGCCGCACCGAGGAGGGCTCAAGGGTCAGGGAGCGCTCAAGAGACCCTTCTCCGAGAGCTCCTCAAAGTGGCAATCTCGCAGCTTGCTCACGCGAACGGGGCGCTCAAGCGAGGTCACCAACGGATCATGGAAGTTGAGGGCATCGCTCAGCCTCGCAAGCTTGGGCTTTGTGACTTGGGTTGCCTCCGTATTGAGCAGCTGGACAGGGGCGCAAACCGTTGAGCTCTCCCCGTGCTGGCAGCCACCGTCCGCCAAGGAGGCCAAGCTGCATCTCGTGCACGCGTCTACCCAGCCCCGGATCGCCTCCTTGCCCCTCGCGTCCGCTGGCGGCCTCCCTTCCCAACCGACTGGCGCAGACGGCTGCACACTCTCTCTATGCGCTGCCCATGCCGTCTTGCTGCGCCTCGCTCTCTTTCGCGGAGGCACGTGCCCTCTAGAAGCCCGCTTCCTCTCTTGATCGACCCCCCCACTCTCTCCTTCGATGGCGCACGCGCCGGCATCCCGAACAACCGCTCATGCTGGCGGCAGAAGCACGACTCGCCCGAGCACTTTGCCGGCTCATGTGGACGCTTCTCGAGTAAGCCAATAAGGTACTCCTCCTCCTCCCTCAGCGCGCTTTCGCCTTCCTGCCCCTCCGACAAACCTACCCCCGGGCTCTGAGGCATCACTCCATCCCATCGCTCGACCCAGCACAAAGCAGCCATCGACAGCGGTTGAGATGGCTCCATGATTATCTGGTTGGCCACCGGGATGCCGCCGGCCTCGCTGAGCGCCCTTCTTGCCGCGGCTATGTGTGAGCATTCCGTCATTGAAGGGCAGCCATCATTCTTGCCTTGGCACCAGAGCCAAACCCCCTTCTTCTTGTCAAAGCCTTGGAAGACCATGCGCCTTCGCGGGCCGAGGGCCCCTTGGACATTCTCGGCAACTGCAAGGCAGCTCCCTCGATCGTCCGTAGCTACCCGCTCAACGCGCGCCCCTCTTCCAAGCATCTCGCGCGTGGGAAGCTCAGAGGTTGGTGCCCAGCTCTCGCTAAGGGCCGCTAGCGCCAACTTGTGAACGCAGGCGGCGTCCTCTGTAAGCCGCCCCCTGTTGCAGGTGCAGCAGAGCTTCCCCAACGTGTTCCACCAGACCGTCACTGGTAGCCCATTGACTTTGTCCGGCTTCCCCAACGCCTTTGGTCGACCCTCCCCATTGTGGTCCCAAGGGCTAAGATACAATCTAAGCGGCCGCGGCGTTTCTGAGTCTGTGGGCAAGAACATGTGGACTGGTGCCTCCGGCGAGACCATCATTCGAAGATAGCGCACAGCTTGCGCCTTGATGCTCGTCGTTGGAGCGACCTCCTGCAGAGATGCAAGAAGGCAGCACGTCTCTCATTCTGACCTCTCTTTCATTCGGCAGCATTAGCAAGATAGAGCCTTCAGAATCCCAAGTCATAAATAGATCAGCAACCTTGTAGCCCTCCACTTCACAACCACTCTCGAGCAACTTCCGGAGGACTGCATACTCACGGGATGTGCGTTGCCGTCTAGTCGCCCTCATGACATAGCAATGATGGCAGCGGGCACGAGCAGAGCAGAAGGGGCTTGCTACAGACATCTGATTTCTTCTGATGTTTGTAGAGAAATAATGGAGCTCACCTCAGAACTCTCTGCTGCCTCGCTCAGGCTAGCTCTCGGGCGCACTCCCTTTGCGATGCCGCGATCGCCTATCTGCGTTGCTGCCGTAGAAACGTGCCGCTCTCCTGGCATCGTCCGAGCGTTCTCTGACGCAGAAAGCTGAGCAGCTCGTCGCCGAGCTCCAATTCCTGCCTCCACGCCCCCTCTTTCGCCTCCCGCCGCAGAACAACTGCGTTCTGCAGGTCGCCCCTCTTGCTGCCGAGAATCATCATCGACAAACCATCAGCGCTTTCAGCGAGCTTGCCGACCATGTTGTTGATGCAAGTCAGGCACACAATCTGTCTGCATTGCTTGCCCTTCGGGACTGCTGCGCTGACAACATAGCCCATCAGAATGCCCCGATCGCTCTTTCGGAATGCCAGCTTTAATTGCCCCTCCTTGGTCTTGGCCCAAATCTGGTGCAAACAAGTGAGGCACCGCACTGCAAAGCGCTCCTTGCAAGTCTGTACGTCAACCCTAATATCACCGCAAGCGATCCCCCTCACGCTACCTAGCTCTATGTGCTCGAGCCCACTGCTAAAATGCTGAGGACTAGGTCGAGACTCCATGGTTACCACCCTTTATTGCCCTACTCTTGGGGGGCGGCGCTCTCTAAGCCCCGCGGGCCTCCCCTCCTACCTGCTACGCCCCGGTCCGGTTTAACCGGCCCTCGAACTTGCCATTTTAGCCTACCACCTTCTCTCTAAGTTACTGAGCCCCGACCCTGGGCATTTGTGCCCGGTCGCTTGTCCCTAAGTTCCGACCGGTTCGACGCCGCGGTGGTCGTACTTTTTCAGAACCTTCCAGGGGGGGTGCTGAGGTGGCGTCCTCTCCGGTACATGCAACCTTCTTTACCGTCACGGCCGAATCCGGCACGGTTGTTAACGATCCATCCACCGTCCGATCTCTCACGATCGATCGTGGCCCTCACTTTTAGTCTCAACTTCATTTGGTACCCCCCCCAGCCTGGTATGCACCGGCGCTTCCTTTCGTCAATGAGAAACGGAAGTGGCCGTCATCACGCCTTCTTGGATATTCAGCCCATGTGCGCACTCTGGAACTGCCGACAGGTGGCCGCCGCTACCCTCGGCAAGCGCTCCAGGTGGCGCATTTCCTCACCGGGTTTTTTCGAGCCAAATGGAAGCAATTTTAGCATTGGTGATCACCGGGGCGTGCTTTTCGAAGCAGTCTTGTCAAATGAGCAGCGACGACGCCAGGCGGTGGGTTGAACGGGACGGCGACAAGACAGTCCGTTGCTTTTGAAAAGAGTCGCTTCTTTGAGCAATTTCTGGGCAGAAGAAAGGGACTTTAATACGCCCTCCCGTACTCGATGGGCGCGGTATTGCGTAACCCGGTTGGAATTTCACCAGGGTGATTGAGAAGAGTCCGGAAGAGGGCACGGCCCAAGCGCTCACGTGATGTCCAATCTAGAATATCAGAAGGTGTCGTACGCGCGACATTGAATGCATGCAATCGCGATCCTGTGGTTTGGAAGTTTGCGGGAAATTGACGTGGCGCTTTTGTCAGCACATGAACCAATCACAAGGGCCCAACTGTCAGAAATCTGCCGCAAGTCTGGGACAAACTTTTGACCTCGGAAGGATCCAAACCAATGTTGTCGTGCTCACGTGCAATTTTGGAATGTTCGCACTGGTCTGCCAGTTGCGACGACGAAGACAAGAAAGTCAGCAAGATCCAGCCAACTTGCTGACTGCCTGCTGACTGCCGACGCTCCCTTTGAACAGCTGAAGAGTCATTTTCCTCCTCCTTGCTTCCTCCTGATCATTAGTGACCGCAGTAGACCGTCGAGGGAGCGCGACCCTAGGACAAGGCATCTTTGTACCTAGTTTGGCGCGCAGGTTTGCTGTGGGCCAGCTTGCTTGTCCATTTGAGAAGAAGACTCGTGGGGTCTGAACGGGTTGACTCTTTTAGTTTCCTGCTTTAGCTCACGGCTGTGCTTTGCACCTGGAATGGCTCTTGAAAATCGTAGGTAATCTAGTCTGTCCAATAAAGCCAGAATGAATACTCTGTGGGGGCCATACAAGCTCAGTGGGGCCACGTCGTTGAGAATCAAAGAGAGGATGGCAGCTCGACAACAGGACACTGATCTGGATCAGGGCAGCGGGAAGAGGATGCACCTATCTGTCCTCCCTACAATTGCAGAGCATGCGGGGACCGATCTGTTGAGCAAGTCCCTGACGCAGGAGCTCAAGGCTGCAGAATGGAAGACTCCTGTGAGGCCCGCTTCTCCCAATAGCATCCTGGAAAGGGCGGAAAGCGACTCGCCCAGCTCCTCAGCAACGAGTGACAAGTCAGAGGATCTGGAAGTGGAGCAGCAGGATTCGGCAGAGGAGATGGAGGAGGTGGATCTCGTGTCTCCAACCTCGCCCTTGCCTGGGTTTGAGGCTCCATCAGCCAAGGCACAAGGTCAGTGATCTATCCGCTCCAGTTCCGAATGCACCACGTGCCATTGCCAACTTGCTGCGGTCAAAGGTCTCTGATGATGTCATCTCCTTGTGACTTAAATGTCAACAGTGGGCTTCCCAAGACTGCTTGACTGGATTTTGCAATAGAACACGCTCTTTCGTGGAGTGTCCAGCCTTTGGGACACCCATTATGTAGTTGCATTTTGGTTGGGTTGCATAGATGATAGAGCCCATAAAGTCCATAAAGCACCAAATGATGCAGCAGTTTGTCTAGTTGGTCGTTTGAGCACCAGGTTTCTTTGTTTGGATTCAAGATTTGTCGTTTGGTTGCTTGTGGTCAGCTCTTGCTTAGCTTCTTGCTGGAGATGGCTTGCATGTGTGGTGTCATATGCTTTTGTCAGTCACTTGGCTGTCTTGCAGCAATGATGGTCAACCCTGGGTTTCCATATCATTTGTGGTCAGATCCGTCGACCGAGGAGTTGTTATTTGATAGAGGAAATTCTGATCTGAATTCCTGCATTCAAGGACCATCCATGGAGGCTGCAAAGCCACCACACTGATGAGCAGTGCCGAGTGGCACCTGTCAAATGCACCAACTTGAACGGTTGAATGCAACAATCCAGGGTTTGCCTGAGGTGTGCACTTTTCCTGATGGATGGGTGTCATGGCAGTGTCGAGATCAGGGTTTGCATGATCTCCAATTGAGTTGCATACTGCGATGCTGCAGCTACTGTCAGACTGGTCTTCTCCGTTGGGATAAGAGAATGCAGTCCACAAGCTGGGTTATCCTCTTAGGCCGTCACAGGACTTGTGTGGAACGGCATGCATGGTCAATGATTTGCTACAAGCGAGGTGTCTCATGATCATGCACATTGAGCTTGAGGTTGACTCTTAACTAGCTGATGTTAACCTTGAACTCATTCTTCCTAAAGCACATGTTTTGCTCTAATGCAAAGTATGCCAGCCTTTTCTTCTCCAATCTTCTCCAAGCTTGATTGATTGTGTGGTCTTTCAAGGGTTCAAACCCTCCTTTTCCTCGGTTTGATTGGGTTGCTCTACTACTGGATGTACTTCCATCATTCTAAAACAGCTCTGTCAACTAGCTCTGAAATCAACCCTAGTCAGAACCACAGCTATCATGCAAACCTTGCCTCTAGCCACAAATTTGTTCCTGACGCTGTTGCTCATTCTCATTCTGCAGCCAAGTCGCCGATCTGGTGCCCTGCTCCGGTCTCCGTCCGCCCTTTCTGCCCTGAGTTTTGGTCCTCTTTCTCTTCCCCGACAAAGCCGTCCCCCTCTGTCTGGGCCTCACTGGATTCCCCTAGCTCCCAGCCAGCTGGCATATGGACAACCCTACCCAGCCCCAAGCAAGAAAAACTTGCTGAGCGCAGTGCCTCTCCAGAGCCTCTACCCCTGTCCCCTATCAGCTCTCCCAGCTCTCCCCCCCCCCCAACATTCTCAGCCAGCATCTACACCTCGGTGCCGAACAACGCACCGATCAGCCGCAGCATGCAGGCCGGGCGCGTCCCTGTCCTCGAGCGGGAGTTCTCATTCAAGCTGGGGGTCACAGCGGCAGAGCCCCTCCCAGCGGCGTCTGCCAAGCACTTTACGCGGTCCCTTTCCCTGGGGGCGGCAGAGGCTGTGAGAGCGCACCCCCTGGCTGCCGTAAAAGCTAAGCAGGCATTGCATTCGGACGCGAACCGGCGTCCCGCATCCGCTGAGAGGGCACTGGGAAAGCTCTCCTCCTCTTTGCCCAGCCCCAACTTTTTCCCTTCCAATAGGAAGCCCCCATCCCCTGGTACTAGCCCGGTGGTTTCTCCCCGCAGCCAGGGGGGCAGTTTTTCCCAGGGAGGCCCCCCCCCCAGGAAGCACCAGTGGTGCTGGCGTTGTGGCCAGAGGGGGGACCTGGCGACCACATGCCTGGTTTGCACTGGGGACTTTGCAGTTTGCGGGGGGTGCGCTCACGAGAGGGCCGCAAAGGGGCGGCGCCCGGACACGTGTCTCTGCGGGGGTTGCATGAGCAGACCCATCGACCCCGCCGTGATCGAGCGGATCCAGAGGATGAGCCGGAGTAGTTCATTTGTGGGGAAGCAGACTGGGTTGGGGGGACCCCCCAATGGCAGCGGCCAGCGAGGGGGGGGTGCGCTTATACCGGCGCAGCACGCGGGGGGAGCGCTTATACCTGCACAGCATGCGGGAGGCGTTCGGAGCCGGTGACCATGCAGGGCCGTGTGTCGGACTGCTGGGATGCAGCCGGCCACACGGGGGCCCGTTTTGTACACTAGAGTTTTAGGGTTGTACATGTGTAGTCTGAGACTCTGAATTGTTGCACGATACCTTTGTCTTGGTGATATAGGCCACTATACCCTTGTCTTGGTGATTTAGGCCATTAGTTGTTGTCCGACAGTCACGTGGTTGCGCCGAAATGGAGCTGTGGAGAGGCCCTTGGTCTAGGTGGATGTTGTACATTCGTTGTAGGTTCACTGTACCATAGAAAAGTGCGGGAGAGGTGTCTTGAGTTGCATGGACCCCAGCAAAGAGTTGCTTAAGGAAGTAGTTGAGCAATTCATTCTTTGGGGAGGGGGTTAATGTGATGCATTGTTGGGATCAAACAACGAAAGGAGTCGAAGCGAAGTTGTACTCCTCTGGAGGTTTGTGGAAAGTCTTACATCTGGACAAGCATGGCAGATGGTGACTAAAATCTTTGCACTTCGTGTGCAACAAGTGGGAGGGGGAGGTTTGTCTAATTTCAACGCGCTCGACCATTCTCTCTTATCTTGCGACTTCTGGAATGCATGCACGTATTGCATGATACATATACCCTCCACTCGTGCTCGTGTGCATCTGGTGTGCTGATATGCATTATCATTGTGTGCGAATTTTGTTGGCAAATACGGTACATTCCATGATCGACGTTGATGTCTGCTCGGTTCAGTCGTATACTGGTAGCTCAGTATGCAGTAGCTCAAATCTCGGCTTCCTCTGGTTAGCTCAACTGTACCTGAGCGCTGCGAGTGTCCTAGAGCCGTTGACATGCTTGTGTACGTCATGGTGCTCTTGATCATGTCAGACGGATTATGTGCGCAACTGGTTGTCTACAGACAAATTTCAAACGACATCATGCGTCACTTTGCATGCAGCATGCCGTGCAGGCCATGCCCCTCCTGACATCACATGCAAAGCCCGAATTGAAACATTCTTTGAGCTCAAGTCGCATTACGCTGCGCCTCATATTGCCTGGCGGGACCATGTTGCCGAACATCGATAGGTCAACATTCCATGCAGAAAGAGGAAACGTCCTCTTCTGCCAGGCAGTAGAGAAATGCTCAGACGCGCTGTCCAACCTACTGACAACAGACGGGTAAGGTTGGTGACCCAGCAATTCAAAGCGCCCCCTTCTAGCCTCGCAAAACACCCATGAGCGCATCCTGTTTGCCTCTGACGATGATCGTGTATACAAGTCGAATGGCGTCCACCCACCCGTCCATGGCGTCGGAGGTTTCCGCAACCTGGAAAACAACGGAACGGTCAATCAGCCCCAAGGGCTAGGTACAGTTGTTCGGCAAGAGTCCGCTTGCAAGTTTACAGGGTCTGCGGCGAAACTTTTGGTCGGCAGGATCTATTGCTTTCTTTCAAAAGTAAGTTTCTTTGGCATAGTCAAGAAGGTTACTTCAATTCGGATGCGGAAAAGCACAGGTACCAGCCATGCTCTTCTCAAGACCGCAATTTCAGCATGCATTGTCCTCGGTCTAAAGATCTCCCCCGTGGGTTCGAATCTCTCCTTCCAACGGTTGAAGCTCTCATCTAGTGACAAGATTCGGGCAAGTCTAAAGCATACTTAAAATCATGTATGTACAGAGGTCCTTCTCTGGCAACGGAAAGGAGGGAAAACGCCTGATTGTGAAGGTACTTCCAGAACTTGTCGGCCTCAAAATTGGTCATTAACAAAGGCAGCCTCAGGCCAAATAGCACTCCCTTCAACCCCTTTCAACCTCTCGACCCCACTGCGAGAGCTTCTGCTCAACAAAAGTAGGCTATAAAAGTCCTTGGTTCACCAGATTAAGCCATTTGCAAAGAGAAGGTCGCGAGCGAAGGCACAACAGGCCAAAACAACTGCAAGACATCTGACTGTTTGCTTAGACAAGTCCTTGTTTCCAATCATGCTCTTCAGGTCTTAAGCGGCAGCAGCAGCGTTTCCTACCGGTGTAGGACAAGCCTCAAGTAGTCTCGCTATGCCCAAATCCACTTCCCCATGAGCTGAATCACCTGACCACCATGCAGCCACCGCAATATTTCACTCAATCCAACAGTAACGCCTTAATCTGTTGTAACTTCGCAAGATATTCGCAATTACTCGGGGTGAAATTACTTATGTAACACAAAGGGAATCACGACCCTTCTCACTCACCAGGTACAGCGCAGGGCTGCCATGGATCTCGACGCGGAAGCCGCCGCCCGCTGGCAGGCTCAAATCGCTCGCGGGCGCTACGGACACGATGCTGCCCATGTCGATCCGCAGCATCTTCTCAAGATCCATCTCCTCGTCGTGCGCGTGGCTCGAGCTCCCAGCGTGGCGCGCAGGCTCCGGCCTCTCATTTGGTTTCTGTGAACATACACTTCAAATTTGGGTATAGTACGGGTTAGGAACAGTAGGAACAGTGGGACCAACAACTTGGGATGCTTGAGGTTGGTTTCGGGGTTTGGGGTGGTTATGGGTGTAAAGCCGGTAACATCAAGGGTTGGGTTTTTGGCGTTGGATTACGAACTGACTATTCCTGAGGCTTACTATCCCTGGAATGAAGAGACATGGTCATCGAGTAGATGTTCTGTGGTACATGTGGGCGCGGTAGCTGGGCACATGTTACCCCTTCGGCAGTGCTTGTGAGCCAGGTTGAAATCACTGCTTTGCACTGAGAGCATCGCTGAGGGGGCGCGGTCGATTTCTGCACTCGCAAAAGAGAGCGGTGTTGCCAGCGCCAGTCTTCAGCTTCTTTGCTCTGCCTGAAGCGCAGAATTTGCGGACACTGGATTGACGAGCTTCCCGACTCGGGGTGCTTTCCGTTTTGAAACAAATTTTTAGGTATTGGGGCCGAATGTCAGCAACTACTCCCTTGCTCGGTTCAATAAATTCAACATGAGTGGGGAGCGGTTCCCAGCGAAAACCGTGCGGTTCAAGAAATACAGGGCGTCGTTTTCGAAGCAGGCGGCATTGACCACATAGACCGGAGGAAAAGACTGGGCTCCGAAATGACTTGCTTCTTGGCATAAACGAAGCTGGAAGGTTTTTCTGCTTCGTTGACATTACATGCAGAAAGCACGTCGGTAGGGTCTCCCGCGCGGTAAGGAAGAGCTCCTGGCAACCATTCCTGAGCCGTTCGAAAGCCAGCCTCAGAAGCATACACACATCCGTGCACAACCCTACTCAGACCAGGCTCGTCTGCACAAGATGTGGAAGCAGTAGACCAGAGAAACACCGGAAGTATCTTTGAACAACTCCATACCTCATATAGCTGGTCTGCACACTCCGTGGAAGCAGTGGGCACGAGAAAAGCCAGAAATCTCATAAAGAACTGACTGAGAGAGTTGCCATACCTCGTAAAACGCCTCGTGATCCAGCACGAACCAGCGCTTGGTCCACGTGTCATGGGGGGTAAGAGCGCCGCTTGCCGGGGGCGTCAGAAGGAAGCCGGACTTGAGAAAGGGGAGGGGCAGCTGCATATGCGGGACAGAATGGTTTAATTTCTGCATCCTAATCGAACTTTCCAACGCTGAGCCGTCCCTAGTCCTACTTTGAGCAATCCTCCGGTCTGCTTAAATGCCATGCACCGAATTCTGTTGCTCGCTCCGAACCCATGTTTCTGGCTCAGCAACAGCAGGAAGTAAGTTTGATGTGCGAGCTGATGATTGAATGATGACAAACAAGGAAACGACCCTTAAGAGTATGGCTGGCGCTTTGACGAGGAGGAGGTTTTTTGCATAAGGTTTGAAAAGTGTTCGATTACTTCGAACAGATATGAATACCGCAATGTCTTGACTCGAGAGGTACACAAAATCCGCAGCTCACCATCTTTCGGACGAGCCGCAAGGCGCTTACGTACACCTGCGGACAGAACGGCAGTAGATGAGTTAGATCTTGCGACTGTCCGTTTCTTAATGCGCGCAACGGTCCGCTTTCCATTCGGCCGCAAGATTGGCTACACGAGGCATTGAGCCGGAGCTGAGGAAAGCACATTGGCGCTGACGTCAGGAGCTCTCACAACTGTTATTACAGGAGCCCCCGGTTTCCGATCTGTGCGCAATGCGCCGCAAAGGCACTAGCAAGAATCAGCCGAAGTCTAGACCCTCTCAGACGCGAGCGCTGAAGTCACGAGCCCTTTCAATTGTTACTCCAGAGCCTCCGGATCTAGAACTATGCACCAGAAAAACAACAGCAGCAATTAGCCAAAATCTAGCCTGTCAGATGCGAAAGTGTGCGGAAATAGACTCACGGGGTAGTCTGGTTTCAGCGCATGCGCTGCGCATATGTACACTGCCGACTGCGCATAGACGCCCTGAGGCGTGACGTGCTTCCCGTCGCCTTTCCGCCCGCTGCGTAGGATGTCTTCCGCCCTCCCGTACTGCGGAAACCGGTTCGAGCGGAATATAAGGTCGGGCGTACTGTGGCCAAAGAGCTACGCCTAACTCGTGACTAAGAATAGTGTCTAAAGAAGTCGTAGGTTGTTGTGCCGAGTCGCATAAGTAACGAAAAAGAAAGCCGGAGAAAGCCGCTTTCGAACAAGGGTTTACGAGAAGGCGCCGTGAAGGGCTTTAGCAATAGCTACGGGCGCAAGCCGTGCTCGGGGGATGTCAGAAAACGGCCGTTCCTGTCCCCGCTCAAAGCTCTCACCGACAGAGCCGAACCAAAGCAGATAGCGCGTATTAATCACAGACTCTCTTTGGTAAAAGCTCAGATTCCAACGGAGAGGTCAGAAGATGCGACTTGATCCTCGGCATCGCACACGAGCAGGGCCTTTGTCTCACCAACACTGTGCCCAGGTTGTAGACTGCCCGGTGGAAGTCGAATCGCAGCCGGATGGCCGCCCGGAACTGCAGAGAGAGCGGAACAACGGACCGGGCTTACTTCGACCACGTGGCAGATGGGCCGTCGTAAGCCGCTCGCATTCATTGCTCTTGCTTCGGTTTGGTTGATTTGGACTCTCAGCGGACCGACGCTCCCACCTTTGTCGTGAGAGCCGGATTGTAAGCAGGAAGGACAGTAAGAAAGCAAACACCTCCTGTCAGAAATTTCCTCATCCTAGGAATATATTTGCATCGGGTTTCTGTGACTGGGCCTTGGCGTCAGGTTTCTTGCCTGAAGACACTGCAATTGGCGGCCAAAGAAAGAATCCCAGACTCGGACTTTACCTTGCTGATGGCTTTCTTCACGATGGCGGCTTTCTCCCGAAGGGGCACGATCGTGCCCAGCTCCTGCCACCAAAACATTGCCACGTGTCAGTCACTCAATTCGCCAGAAACCATCTTCAAATGACCACTGTTTGGCGCATGTCGACGCCTGTGAGCGACCCGCAGAAAGTGCGACGGAACGAAAGTCGGCCGTGTATGCAACTTCTCAGTGGACGCGGGGAGCTCCATGGTAGTGGAGTTACGCAGTGAAGCTTTGAAAGGAAAACTTCGCCCACCTGAAGAGCGAGCCCCCAGTTGTTGAGCGCCTGTGGGCTGTCCCAGTTGAGCTGCACCGCCCGCTCGTACTTCTCACACGCCTGACAAACAAAAAGAGAAAGCGAATTTCGTTGAGGCTTCCAGATCCGGGTCTTTTGAGGCCTGCTTACGTTTCAAAAAGGGGCGGGCGTGCGTTCCGACACGACAGCTTGACACAGAGGCTACTATCTTCGAAGGGGGCTCCTCTGAAGAGTAGCAATGCATTACAAGCATCAAATGCGACGAACACACTCGAATTCGTGAGAATGGGCAATAAGATTGCTCGCAGCGGGCTTCCGGCTTCACCCAGAAGCACCTCAACGTCGATCCAGTATCGCACACATGCTGAATGCTTCATATTCAAGTAGAAAACGACCGAGTAGGCCTCAAAAAACGGCCTGACCTGTCTCCATAGCGTCTGCGCCTCCTCTCGCCGCCCCCTGATCTTGGCTCGGTCCGAGATTGCAATCGCCCAGTTGTAGTACGCCTGTAGGAGACAGTATTCCCAGACTTTAATGAGAGGCAGCCATCGGGACATCCTTCGATAATCCTACGGCTTTCAGCGTCCATTCGAAACTTGGAGATGAGATTGCGCAAATGCGTTTACTCATACCCAGATACCCCGGAGCAACATACTCGAGGTGAAGGAGTGGTTCAAGCCGCAAGCCATCATCAACCAGTCCCTACGGCCGAGCGCAGACACCTCTTTGGGACTGCTGGACTGATTCTATCAGACCTCGCTTTGTAAAAGCAGAAGACTCCTTGGCAATTCTTACTCCACACGCCTTGTATGCTCAATTCCGTTTGACAGCATAACTTCTTCCAGACCAGCTCGACTTTGATATGGTTGTCCTCAAGTACGAAACGGTGTATTTCCGGTTCTTTATCTGTTTTCTGGTGGATATCCCCCCCCCAGCCAAGGACATTCCATCAAAAACTACACCAGCCCAAGGGAAAGGCAACGGTTGTTTCAAATCTTGCAGCGTGGAGCCAGCTACTGGCAGTGGCGCACCTTAAAAGCATACACTCTTCAAAATCAGGTCGACTTTTGAGGTTCGTTTCCTTCAGTTATGCAATGATTGCTTACCTCTTGCAGTGTGGGGCACAGCTGCGTTGCAGTGGCGTACTTCTTGCACGCCTCCTCGAGCAGGCGGTCCCGCGCCTCGCCCCCCGAGTCTGGCCCCGTGTTGTCAGCACTCTCCTGCAGAACGAGCAGCTTAATTTCACAACGAAATTCGCAGTGCTTGAACGAGGCTGTGTTCGAAACAAGGCCGCTTCTAACGCAAACGGACTTCTGCTTGTGAGACTTGCCAGGAAGTGACGCATGGACACAACACCAGATCCGATGTAGAGTTGGCTGCATGTCTTCAGAACGTATCTGTGCATTGAGGTGCATTGAGGTGGATCTCCAACTGACCTGGTGACAAGCCCGGACGAATTCTGCATAACTTTTCGAGTAATCCCAGCTTTTAGCCCTGGTAGACCTTTAGGGCACAAAGAGGACTGTCCTTCTACTGACACTCGAGGTTCAGCAAAAGGCACACCAGTTGTAAGGCCTGTGTTTGAGAGCAGAAGGGAGAAGGAAAAGGCTTCCGCCTTACCTGCAATACCAGCGCCCAGTTGTAAAGAGCATCATAATCCTTCGGGTTCCGCTGCACAGCATTCTCGTACCTGCGGTTGGAAAGCGCCCCTTGTCAGGATGAGAACAAAGCTTAAAAAAATTTTAAGCTATTGACTAGACTTGTAAATCTCTCCGTGTTTCTGTTGAGGGCTTACAAGCTTGTGTCCGTAAAAACTCATCTGAAGCGCTCAAGATCAAAACTTCACAATGCCAAAGGGCTTGTCTCTCACGAGTTGGCAGCTTCTCCTCTACTTCGCGAACCCGAACTGGAAGACTAGTCCAATAGATCTAGAAACCTCAACTACACTCCTCCGCTTTCAAACATTCTGGGGTGTCTAGGTTCGAATTGGAGCGGTCGGGTAAGAAGGGACCAACGAAGAGCTGCTGCGAACACGGAGGAGAACCACATCACCCAGGGCAGATTGCAAGGGTAGATACCGTGCAGAATGTGCGGAACAACCATCGGCCTGACTCCAAACATCATGATAGCAACCTGTCGCAGCGTCAGAATGGTGCTTCTTGCGGCGCGTATACTTCCTTCAGCTGGCTGGCCCCCACCTTTTGGCAGCAAACGCTAGGATTCTTTGGCGCGACTTCCCCTCCTGCTCGCCGGTTGCAATACTGTAAAGGACATCTCCTACGATGCTGTTTGGTCCGGACGCAACTTGTCCAGGATCGTCCAGCTCGTCCGCGATGGGGTCCTTCTCTTCTGCGTCTGTAAAAGCAAACTGCTAACGTGAAGTGGTGGCAACCTTAGCTCACTGACTTGCCCCACTATCTTACATTTTCAAAAGTATGGTGGTGCATTTAGTTGCAGAGAACTTTCTTAAAAAGTGGTCAAGTGAAAAGCATAGCTCAGATCATGTTCCTGAAGGTGGGCAGTACCTCAGATACCTTCATGATCTATGGACGTCCTGAATCAGGGCGACAAAGAACCTGATTACATTGGTTGCAATTTCAGCATATTTACTTGGATCCATCTGCCTTCATCGTCAAACCAATTCACATGCACCCTAAACGAGATTGCAGGAGATTAGGGTTTTGTACGTTGCACTGCTTACCTGGAACATTCTTCGCCTCATCATACTCCCTTTCCTCCTTCTCAGCCCCCTCGTCTCCTTCTTGCACATCTGCCAACTCTGCACTGATCTCGCTGCTCTGTTGCACCTGCTGAACCACGCTTGGCTCTGAAAATGCATTCCAATCAGGCTTTTCCTCTTCTGACGCTGCATCTGTGATTGTAATTTCTTCCTTCAAGATGCTCGGCTCCTGTGGCCCATCCGCTGAGGGCTCGTCCAATGGAAGCCTGGACGCGAGAGCTGCGAACTCATCGGCCCCATTGACCACGTCAGGCTCGGTGCTGAACGGATCTTCCCTTGCGCCCTCCATTTTCATGAACAATATCAATGACATTGACAATGTGGAGATGCATGGAATAAAGTTGGAAAACACCACTGAATAATGATTAGCTCAACCGCTTATACTGTCCCCCGGGGCGAGATAGCTCAGACTGGATTCCCGGTGCAAGAACAGCTAGGGAACTAGGAAGGTCTTCCAAGTCACTAACACTCTCCACAGTCAGTACGCACGCTCTTGGACCCGCCAGAAAAAGTTCGGAA